AAAGTGTGTGGTATGCAGCCACCCAAGACACAACATCCAAGAAACACCTGGCGGGAGGAGGAAAAAAATAAACTGGCCATACTTGTTTCTCATGTACCACTTAAGGTGAAGGCAAGGCTCCTCAATGAGCTGATCTCAATATTTCATGGGGTGTCCCTTGCTCTCATCACAAGCCACTCAAGGTTACACCTTACACAGTAATCGGCTCCGGTCTTTTCACAAGAAATTCATCCACAAGGTTTTAAGCAAAGCCCTTTTGGAATCCAATATCTTTAGGGCTTTAAGGCTAAGTCACTGTAGCGGTGAAACCCTATATCCTTAAGTTCATCGTGGTTTTGAATATTGGGAACAGGCAACATCTAGGTTTACCTGTGAGCAGGAGGAACAAAAAAGAGGGTTAGCCTATCACCAGTGCAGGAATCATTTTGGACTGAGGATGCCCTTCTCGGCCGGAGGCAAGTTGATTCTTTAGGTGATCTGAGGTTGTCCAGACCCCTAGTTGGAGATCTTAAGACACCATCAAATTTCAAATATATTGTCATGGTAAGCCACCTGTTGGCTAATTGTTCGGAGGCACCTGGAAAAAGTCAGTTATATATAGCCATCACAGAAAGTAAAGGGGACTCTTAAAGCATAGGTTTATAAGCAGTTGTGATTTTTCGATTTTGCAGGAGTGATAGATACCTTCTGGATTTTAGTCCGAACATTGGGAAAAAAGCTATCCAAGGAGCTAATTCTGTGTAGAGACTAAGGGTTTGGGTACTTTTGATCGCTCCTCTTAACTTGAGACTAAAACACAGAGTGGATTCACACGCACACACCAAAATCAGGCAGCAGCCTCCACTGGGTGAAACACGTCTCTCACTCTTCCTAGAAAGACCTACATGGTGCCTCAACGTGCACAATAGTCTGTGGTTACTATCAAGATGGTAACGTCCCTGGATGGTGCAGACAGAAGATCCAGTGGTCATGGGCCATGCGAACAGCAGGAACATGGTCCCACTATGGTTCCACTGTCTGTCTTGAGTTTTGACCCTTTAACTCTCACAGAGAAATCTGGGAAATCTACTGTAGTTCAGAGAGGATGATGAGTTTTCTAACATGTCCTGCCCATCTCTCTACACACAGAGTCAAAAATCAAACCACCCTGTTTATGCTCCCCCCCAAGCCATGTAGAGTCAGTAGCATGAAACATTTGTTACATAAATTCATTAGCGCGACAAGATAAAGTGAGGACTTAATTGCCCGGGATATTTGGGGGGGAGAGAGAGATTGTTATAAATAGTAAAAAAAAACAAAAAACTCAACCCACTTCCTTCACAGCATCACAAGCAAGCCTTCTTGCTGCATTTTGGACCCTCCCAAGTGGTTTGTTACCATGGCAGTTTGGCCAAAAGTCCTGGCCTCGGGTCAACATGGCATTCTTTTCAATTTTGGATTATTTACCCCCCTGTACTTTTCTTTCCTCTCCCTTCCCTTTAATGCCAGTGCATGAAAAGACAAAAATATTGGTGTCCTTAGAGAAGCCTTTCCCCCCTCTTGCTGTAGAAAGTAGCACTAAATTATTTTAACAAGTTATGCACATTCTCTTATTTCCAGAAAACCTAGTTTCTACGGAGGACTGAATCAGGCAAAGTTTCAAAACAAACAAACAAACAAACAGATAAACCACCTCTTTCTCCAATAAGCAGGCTAGCTCCTCTTCACTTCTGACTGTAACCTTTGATAGTTTATATGTACCGTTTTAGAAGTAAGATTACATAGCTCTCTAGTGTAGCACCACTCCGGGATGTCAGTATTAGCCGATATATATATAAGCAATTTTAAAATAGGTATGTATATATACATATATACATGCACTATTGTATACAGTAATTACAACTAAGTGCAGGGAAACCAAATAAAACTTAAAATATGACTTTGGATGTGGATATGAAGGGTTTTTCTTGCTCTTTCGTTTTGTTTTCAAGTCTTACCGTTTGTTGTACAACTTGAAAGCCATAAGGGCTGGGACCGCTTTGAGCTAGCGCATTCTGCCTCACGGTAGGGCCGGCCCCATAGTGAGGTTACTCACATTTCTCAGCTGTAAATGCAGGTGCTTTACGGAGCCTAAATGGCAGAGGCAGTTGCCAAACAAGGTGGACACTTTCACCAGAGCTCACGAAACCTAGCTTTTCTTCAACGTTTTTTCCCCGCACAAGCATACAGGGTTGATCACGCCGCTCTGGAGAAGAGGAAAAGAAAATCTAAGTCTTCCAAAACTAGAAGAAGATTTTTTTAAAAGTCTTGGCAAGAACAGCTTTCAGAAATTAAATTTAAAAAAAGCAAAGTATACACCTTCAATAGATGGAGAAGCACATCCAATTGAAGTACTGTTTATTTCCTTATAAAAGACAGCGTAAGTTATACCCAGATGGTAAAAAGCTGGAAAGTATCAGTGTGTGTCCACCAAAAAACAAAAAAACACCTTCAGTGCAAAACAGAGAGTCTCTTTTTATTCTCAAGGGCAAAGACAGCCACGTGGTCGTCACACAATTTGTATTGTGTGGTCCTTGCACAATACACATGCAGGAGAAGGTGACACCTTTATTAGACCACTCTCTGAATTGTTGGGTAGAGAATCCCAACCCTAGTTTATTGGGGCAAAGCATTAAACCACACACTCCCAGTGGGGCCAGCTGTGAGCTCATCTTAAGAAGCCTACCTGGCAGGAATTTTTGAGACACTTCGTTTCTACGTTTTCTGCCCTGCCCGCAAGATATCGGTGCCTGGCCTGAAGAAGGGAATTTGAACCACGAAAGCTCACACAGTTTAATATTTTAATTTTGAGGGGTCTAATAAAAGGTGCCACCTTCTCTCCTGCATTTCTATTCTTGGCTTCCTCTCTCACCGCCACCCGCTGTTCCCTCCAGCCCGAGGCTAGAGTTTGTACCACAGCTCCATGACGGCCAAGGTTGTGCTTTGTCCAAAGATGAAGGCCCCACAGAGTATGGTGACGATCCCCCAGGTTGTTAAGCAGGACCTGCAAGCGAAGGAGGCAAACACAAGAACAGGCCACGCTGTGTGCATTCGTACCATTCCAAGACCGAAACAAATCTAAGACAGTTTTCGAAGCGAGGCTTAGGAAAAGGTGCATCGTGGCGATATGTTTAGTAGAATGGGATTTACTCCCCAACTGTGGTTCACCAAGATTCACACTCAAATATCCCCCACTGGAATGAAAACTGAACAGAACCACCACCAGGGAAAAGCACTCACTGCTTACCAATGCGTGTAGCTGTATCTATAACATATCACAGAAAAGGAAGCATTGTGCAAAGATATGGCTGGGAATGCAAGACTGTTCTCCTGCAATGCACACCACTGGCAAATATTGCTCTCCAAACCCAAAATAAGACCCATAAATATATATATGAGGAGAAGTGCATCAGGATGCAGTGAGTTACACTCTTGGTTCTGAATCTCAGACCTCCCAATGCTAAGAGTGCACCTTCTGGAACTTCTGGCCAGTGGCCACGTGCTCTGGGCTTCCCGGAAGGTGGTGGCCCACGTAATCTCCCAACGCCAAGAGTTGGGAAATATTGCTCTGAACCAGTGAGCTCAAATCTCCAGTTTTCCAGACTTTCCCTCCCAGAAGCCCCAGACACAGCCTAGCTGATGGTGAGGAATTCTGGAAGCTGCCATGATCACAAGCTAAATGGGAACCATTGCATTCTATTGTCAACAGTTCCAGAAAACATTCATGAGAAGCATAATTGGGGGGTGGGGGTGGAGAAAGCACAGACATACTTAGTCCTGGGCTTGATTTGTTCCATCTCCATCGCACACACCAGACAGAGCCCTGAAATTCAAAATAACATCCCTTAGCTTTTTTTTTTCCCCACCCACTGCGGTGATCTTGCACAATGAGATTATAAAAATACACCAATGTGGGCTTCTTTTTAATAAAGTCATATCCAGCTCTCGGAGGTACACTCGTCACGTTTATCTCACAGACTGCAACTGCAGGACGTGGCCTTCGGTGCCAAGCTGACTGTCGTCATTTATTATTGGATTCGTTTTAAACCGGTAAGTGAGGGCTCAACGTCCACCCGGCTGAACGCAAGATTCACAACTAGCAAGTGAAGTTTTCGGCAGCGACCGCTAACTCACGACACACATCGCCTCCCTCAGTTCCAGACCTCAGCCGGGACATTCCCAATGCGATTGCTAGCCCAAGTGTCTGCGTGTTGTGATTCCCAATCCGCCAAAGCCCTATGCATGGCAGAAGATATCCCCATCAACCTAACACTTCTGACAAGGGGGCTTGGGACCATCTCAGCTTTCCAAGGTCCCCTGCTGTTGCAATAACACAAAACATCAGGGAAAGAGAGAAAGCAGCTCATATACTCAGGCACATATTTTAAAACCCAAGCAGGAAAAAAAAATATAAACATGTGCCCTCAAGTCAATTCTGACTTATGACGACTGTTTTCAGGGTGTAGGAAGTACTCAGAAATGGTTTCCCATTTCCTTCTTCTGGGGTGCCCTGGGACCGACGTGAAGCTTTCCCAAAGCTACCCAGGCTGGCTCTACTGTCAGAGGGGGGCCCAGGGGGGGAATCGAACTCCGAACCTCTGGCTCCACAGCCAGAGACCTAAACCACTGAGCAAAAGATGGGGGGAATGAGGAGACGGGTCTGTGTCGTGAATTGCGCACTGTGCTTAACAAGGGGGAACAATTCCCAATCCTGAGTCAATCCAGGCTTCTAAAACATGGCCTAAGAAAGATAAGGAAAAGACTCTCACTCCGAACGTCTGGTTCTTAGAACTGCAAAGAAAGAGGTCGAAGTAAGAGGATCTAACAGGGGTTTTCGGCCAATGCTGCTTTTCCTGGAGGAAATAATCGCCCTCTAAAAGTGTCGCCTGCAATGGGATGCTCGTTTTCACTTGCCAGTAAATGTACAAGACGTGGATTCAGGCTGTGCACACCATGCACGGGTAGGGGAGGCTCAACAGGCTGGTTCCGGGGGCCAGTTTCACACCCTAGACCGCTGGTTCCCAACCTGGTGGTCCCCGGATGCTCCTGGACTACAACACCCAGAAGCCTTCACTGCTAGCTATGCTGGCCAGGATTTCTGGGAGTTGCAGTCCAAGAACATCTAGAGACCCAGGGCTGAGAACCACCGGTACATACAGTGCACAGAATGATGCACCAGGACTCAGGAGGCTTGAGTTCGAATCCCTCCTCAGTCATGGAAACTCAGTTGAGTAGTAGAACGAAAAATACTTGCATGTAAAGACTATTTGAGCTTTCAACACAGCAAATAATTCTCCTATAAGAATAAGAGTACCCCCCAAGTTATAATAAACAGTTATCACCAATATGGAAGTCCCTCACCTCGTCCCAGTGATGTAGTGAAGTCAGAGCTTTATAGGGTCAAAGCTACAGAACTTTCCGAGGAGCGGAGATTGGGGTGTTACTTATTATACACCTTATTCTCTGTTCCCACTGAGCATAGTCAGAATTTTGGCAGTAGCTAGGGGAGAAATTTATTTTCTCAGCAACCAAGTTATTTCCAGCATAATTCAAAGTATTTGAGGGTGGTTTGGGCTTGAGTGGGCAATTAAGAGCCATTAACTTTCCAAAAGACCTGCTCTTCATTTGTTGACATGGACGAAACCATGCCTTTTTGGACTCTTATTGCATGGCGAAAAGGCTAGCCGTGAAGATGATCATGGGGAGTGCTCAAGTTTCCAAACTTAAATTTTTCTGCTCTCTAAGTTTTTTTTTTTTTTTTTTTGCGGGGGGGAATACCTGGAAAAATGAAGATAAAGAAAGCACTGATGCCTCCGATGAGGCTGATGACGTCGCTGATGTCCGGGACACACAAGGCGATGAGCAGGGTGACCACAACCCAGCCGGTCGTCAGGGTGACCCGCATCCACTTCTCGTAAGGCTGCGTGGTCAAGACAGAGTTCTGCCTGGCGCTCAAGCAGAGGTCCTGCAGAACTGATCTGGCAGATACGACAGCACAACACAACACAACACAACAGCATTGCTCTTTTACTGAAGCAGCTGGAAGGAAGGAAGGAGAAGCCAGGCAATTTTGCCAGGGGGTGGGGAGCAGAATTTGGGTAAAAGACGCTCAGATGAAAGAGAGCCTTCTTTGGCCAAGGTACCAGAATCCTGTCCACAGTTGCCGAACAACATCACAGCTTGGGAAAATATTTGGGAGGTGACTACAACTCCCATAAGCCACCACCACCACTTGTGATTCTGGGGAGTTAACTCCTGCTGTGAACCTTTCTAATCTTTGCCAGGATGAGACAATGTAATACAATAGGACTTTGCCCCCCCGTATCGTATTCATGGGGGCTCAGTTCCAAGCCTCCCCTCTTGAATGCTGAAAAATGTGGATTATAGTGAACCCTATCATAGTGGCAAATGCTATAAATAGATGCATTTTCTTCTTTTCTTTTCTTTTAATATTGTTAATATTGTCAGACTGTGGATCAGTGAATCAGCCGGTACTGATCCTGTGGATCAGAGGGTCCCACTGTCGTTCTCGGCATAAGGACGTATTATAGGAACCAAAAGAAAACTAAAATGAAGGTCTCGTGGCTCCTTAAAGGCTAACAAATTGGTTTCGGTAGGAGATTTCACAAAGGAAAGGCTATGCCAAAATAAATCTGCTAGCTTTTAATGTGCTGCAATATATTGGTTTTTTTCTTCTTCTTTTCACTAGACACACTGAGGGAGGGAAAGCCTAGCACAACGATCTTCTGCAAAACTGGCTTTTGGTCCAGTCTGCAGACCAAGCTTGCTGAGAGATTCCGGGAGTTGTAGTATTTATATATTTAAAAAAACACCAACAGCCACCCCAGGCTCAGAGCAATCGGTATCGGCTATCTGTTCAGACTTGCTTGAGCCTTTTCTGTGTCTCCTGGGGTGTCACATGAAGTATCCTTTGGAATGGAATAGAGAATGGAGCTGCCAATATTGAAAGCGCACAGCGGATGGCAAAAGGGAACCCAAGGTAAAACAAACACTGTCACAAGTTGTTCCATAAAAAGTGCGTATTTGAGCAGTATCCAGCAGCACCCAATCGCCCCTTCCTGACCTCCGAGTTCAGACAGAGCCCCACCTCTCTGCCGAGTGCTCTTTCCCTCTCTAGAGCCTGCCAAAGTCTGTTGCTCAAAGCAGGCACGTTTCCCAGTTCGCTGTCTGATCTGTTCAATGGTGAGTAATGAAACCTTTCAACTTCTTCCACTACTAATGTCTCAGAGTGAGTTATTGGGACTGTATGTGCCAGCTGATGAGAAAAGAGGCAGGCTACTCTGGAGGGGAGGGGACGGGAGACCGTGTCACCTTGCAGTGGGGGCCCAAAGGGTTAGTTATTGACCTGCTTCAACTCCCTCCCTCGCCATTCTAGCAATGGGGTAAACAAAGCGGCTAGGGAAGCTGGCACAACTAAGCCAGTCAGATCAGCTACTTCTTTTCAAAATTCAAGTCACCAGTCCTCATTGTCCCAAACTCTGTGTTGCCCCTGGCGTTGAAGCCCAGGGAAACTACCACTTTGGGTCCTTACCTTCCTAAGAGAAGAACGATGGGGTAGATGGTGACGATGGAGACACCAAACAAGAGCCGGGCTATGATGACCATCACATCATTTCCCGGGTAGGACATCAGGAGGTCAGCGGCAACATCAGCGCCAAAGGTCAAATAGCCGTAGAGCCCTGGATTGAGGAGAGGCCAGCAGGCCTATGAGGTAGGGTAAAGCTGGCCCTTGACTGACAGCAACACCTCCCTCCCTTAACCAAAGATGGGAAGACATTAAAGGAAGCTTACCTATTAAGGAATAAATAAGCAAACAGAACAGCATGGACATCACAGAGACCACAACCCAGTGGGAGAGCTTCCGGTTGGCCATGCTGCTGTAGATGGCGACGCAGGCTTCGTGGCACTGGGAGGGGGAGGGGAGAAACACAGCGGGTTTGGGGCCGGAGAGGGAAGGGAAGGGGGCATCCAGGCTGCCTCCCCGCTGGCATCCACCAAACAAGCATTCGCTCTCACCTGTCCCCCTTTTTCCTACCCCTGCTATGCTGCTGCCAGACTTTGAAGTACTCGCGGTAACCCCCTCTTTCATTTGGCACTGGTCAGGCCTCCTCTTGAGTCCTGTGTCCAGTTCTGGACACTTTAAGGAGGATGCTGGCAAACTGGTGTATGTTTGGGATGATTAGGGGGCTGGAAAGCAAGTCCGAGGAGGAGGAAAGAGTGAAAGAACTGGGGATGTTTTAGCCTTGAGAGAAGAAGACGACAGAGGGGAGAGAGGAGGGCACTTTTCAAAGACTCGAAAAGCTGTCATGCTGAGAAGGGGCAGGATCTGTTCTCGGTCATCCCAGAGTGCAGGGCACGTAATAATGGGCTCAAGGGACAGGCTGTGCCTAAATCTCCAGTCTTCTGGTCAACAAGAAAACCATAACCAGCCAACATGCAACAAAAAGGTAACCTGATAATGTCAAAGAAATCCGAGAGTGAAATATTTTGACATCTATGTTTTTGTCGCAAGGGTGATTCACGAAGCTTGTAACAGATGGGATGAAATGAAGGATGCTGTTTGGAGCCATCCTCCTTCTAAACATTACTGACAAAAAATGTGTGTGTTTCAACTCTTCCTGAACACCAATAGCCTGGTTCCAAGCGCTTAAACCACATGGCCTCCTTGATCCTGTACCCCTGAAGGTTTGACTCAATTGCCGAGACATAAAGCTTCACTGGGGCTGCTCTGCTCAGCATGTTAATCTGCCGCCATGCATTTAAAATCTTATTTGATCGCATTTTTATCATGCAAAGGTTACATTTCAGCATACACACCAGAACATTTTGGTGTATATAAAGCGGAGAAACACACATTTCATGCTTGGATTTGTTTTATCTTAGCAATTTTCTGGAGTGTGTTTGCTCCTCATCGCCTGTATTATTGTTGCTTTCTTGTTATTTTATCCTTGTCGCTCTCCTCTGCACTTGTTCCAATTTGTTGGCATCCTTCTTAAAGTGTGGTGCCCAGATCTGGACACTGGACTCAAGATGAGACCTCACCAGTGCCAAACAGAGAGGAATTAGTACCTCGTGGGATTTGGAGACTCGACTTCTCTTAATACAGCCTAAAATAGCATTTGCCTTTTTCGAAGTCACATCACCCTGTTGGCTCCTATTCAGCTTGTGATCGACGAAGACTCCAAGATCCTTCAACAACGGGTTATGCTTTGTAGTCATGTTTTGAGGGGGGGGAAATAGCGATACGTGGATTTTGAACTAGATGGGAGTCCAGAAGCCCCAATCCCAGCCTTGTTGAAGGGAAGAGTGTCTCTCTTTTTGTTTTTAGAGAGACTCTGACTTGAAAAACCCACTGTCTGTGAGGCAGATGAATGCACATGGAACCATAAAGACCAAGAAAGATGGCAGATGGTAACACAGTCTAAGTGGGAGCCAACAGGGTGATGTGTCGTACTCCCCCCCTTGTCAAATCTGATGGGAGATATAGTCCCCCGACATCTAGAGGACCACCCGCTCCTGTCAAAATTTGAAGAATGCATCTTGGACTTAAAGTATCTTTTGGGGGGAGAAGAGGGGGGGGGGAAATGAACTTACATTATTCCCCCCCACCAAAAAAAAAACCCATGCAGAAAAGACTTGTGATGTGGTGTGTATGAGTTAAATGTCTTACCTGAAATCCAAAACAGATGGTTGGTATAACACTGGACATGGAGGCCCAGGAAGAGACTCTGGAAGATTTGAAAAGGGGTGCTCGTCACCATGGGCTGACTTGGCTATGAAGCCATCAACCAAGCAGGGGTGGGTGTGAGAGAAAACAACGTGAGTACAATCATCCTCTTGAGATGTTTATGCCCAGACCGAAATAGCATCCTCCAGTTCACTACCTCCCAACAGAGGTGGTGAATCTGAAATGCTGTTCAAAGCCAAACTGAGCATGGACAAGGTGTGCACAGAGAGAGAGAGACACGCGCAGGATCTTGTCTCCACGCGCTGTCAATTTAGTAGCTTTGGGGCGAACAGGCGGTGGCTGACAAGAAGGCGAATCCTTTTCTCTCTTGGAGGAGAGACTGGCCCGAGTCACATTACTAAGGCACTGGGGAGACTCACCACCGATGGGCCAAGAAATAAGGAAAGGCAGTGCAATAGATTTCGTGGGGAGAGCATCACTCAGCAGCATCTCCACAGGGTTTCAGACTCACCTCCAGGAGGCCAACACTCCAGAATCCGACCATCTGGCAGAGAGAAAACAGCCACCCTTGCCAAGACTTACTCAGGGGATCTGTGGTGTTCGTGCTTCGCAACGTGATCTGTTCGGAGGTAGTATTTGACAACAGTGACGAGCATCAGGTAACAAGCTGCTAAGGTGCCAATAATACTGAAACACAGATAAATATGCATGCGAGGAATTAAGGATTCTGCATCACCAAAGCCTCCCTGCCTTCAAAACAACATCCCACTGTAACTCATGGTGAAAAAGTCAGCCATGCACCCAAACCCACTCTGTTGCCAGTTGTGTTGGGATAGCCTTCAGAGCAAGGAATTGGCAACCGACATGCCTTCATGCCATACTGTATGTGACCCACTCCTCTGGCTTTGCTACAGTCATTAAATTGGATCTGTTCTTAATCATTCCAGAGTGCAGGACACATAATAATGGAATCAAGTGACAGGAAGTCAGATTTCAGCTGGAGAACAGAAAAGATGTCCTAACTGTTACAATAGAGTATGACGTTGGAAGGACCTTGGGAGGTGGTGAACACGTCCAGCCTGGGGGCATTCAAGAGAAATTGGACCACCCTCTGTCAGATCTGCTTGGATTTGGATCCTTGCCTTGAGGAGGGGGTTGGACTTACCGGCCCCTTCCAACTCAAT